CATACACCCATCAGCAGATTTATTTATTGCACCAATACCAAACAGGAAAAGTCCCTATGCAGATTAGAAAAGTGATCTACTCAAGTAACATGAAAATCAGTGCAAAGGATGTAATGGAACAGAATCTCAGATTACAAGTAACTTCTTAAAGCCTTATTCAATTAAACTTATATGGATGGCTCATTTATATGAAATATCCTGGATAGATAAATGCATAGAGTAAGTATATTAGTGGTTTTCAGACTGAGGAAAGGAAAAACGGGGAGTGATTGCTAAGGGGTACTGAGTTTTTTGGGATGATCACGTGTTCTGGAATTAGTGGTGATGTTTACACAACATTGTGACTCTACTAAAAACACTTAATTGTATAATTTTAAAAGGTCAATTTTATGGTATATCAACTGTTTCTCAAAAAAGCTATAATGGAAAAATTTTTAAAGCAAATTTTGGAAAGCTTGTATGGCATTTAATATCTAAAACTCATATACGTTAGTAATTACACAGAACCATTTGCATTTTATTTTTTTTGACACAGGGTCTCTCACTCTTACCCAGGCTAGAGGGCAAGAGCGTGATCTCGGCCACTGCAGCCTCAATCTCTGGGATTCAAGCAATCCTCCCATCTCAGCCTCTTGAGTAACTGGACTACAGGCACAGGCTACCATGTCCAGCTCATTTACCTTTTTTTTTTTCCCTTTTCTGAGATAGAGTTTCGCTCTCTGTTGCCCAGACTGGAGTGCAGTGGCATGATCTTTGCACATTGCAACCTCCACATCCTGGGTTCAAGCGATTCTGCTGCCTCAAGTCTCCTAAGTAGCTGGGACTACAGGTGCCTACCACCATGCCTGGCTAAATTTTGTATTGTTAGTAGATATGGGGTTTCACCATTTTGGCCAGGCTGGTCTTGAACACTTGACCTTGAGATCCACCCACCTCAGCCTCCCAAAGTGCTGGGATGACAGGCATGAGCCACCGCGCCTGGCCTCATTTACTTTTTAAAAATACGTATTAAGGCCAGGCACGGTGGCTCATGGCTAAGACAGGAGAATCACTTGAACCAAGGAGGCAGTGGTTGAGGTGAACCGAGATCACGCCACTGCACTCCAGCCTGGGCAACAAAGAGAGCAAAACTCCATCTCAAAAAATAATTTAAAAATTTTTGACTAGGCTTGGCAACATGGAAAAGCCCCATTTCTACGAAAATTACAAAAATTAGCCAGACGTGATAGCATGCACTTGGTGACAGTGAGACCCTATCTCAGAAAAATAATAATAATAAAATAAAAAGTCCGGGCGTGGTGGCTCAAGCCTGTAATCCCAGCACTTTGGGAGGCCGAGGCGGGTGGATCACAAGGTCAACAGATCGAGACCATCCTGGTCAACATGGTGAAACCCCGTCTCTACTAAAAATACAAAAAATTAGCCGGGCATGGTGGCACGTGCCTGTAGTCCCAGCTACTCAGGAGGCTGAGGCAGGAGAATTGCCTGAACCCAGGAGGCGGAGGTTGCGGTGAGCCGAGATCGCGCCATTGCACTCCAGCCTGGGTAACAAGAGCGAAACTCCGTCTCAAAAAAAAAAAAAAAGAAAAAAAAATAATAATAATAATAAAATAATAATTAAAAATACAGCCGGGTACGGTGGCTCATGCCTGTAATCCCAGCACTTTGGGAGGCTGAGGTGGGTGGATCATCTAAGGTCAGGAGTTCGAGACCAGCCTGGCCAATATGGTGAAACCCCATCTCCAATTAAAAAAAAAAAAATACACATTAGTTCTCAGTGGTCCTTAAAAAAAATACACATAAAATTACAAAATACAAATACCCAAAAAATACCGTTGGGAGAAAATGAAAGACATGATAATCTAAAGAGGCAAATATGACATCAGAGTATAACTGTAGAATCAATGCATTAATAACTTTGAGATGCAAAGCATGGTAATGCTGTGGTGAAATGGATGTAGTTAACTGTCGTAGAATACAAATATCCAGGCTGAACACAGTGCCTCATGTCTGTAATGCTAGTACTTTGGGAGGTCAAGGCAGGAGGATCACTTGAGACCAGGAGTTCAAGAGCAGTCTGAGCAACATGGCAAGACCACATCTCTACAAAAAAATATATATATATATATTTTTTGAGACAGAGTCTTGCTCTGTTGCCCAGGATGGATCACAGTGGTGTAATCTCAGCTCACTGCAACCTCCACCTCCCAGGTTCAAGCAATTCTCTGCCTCAGCCTCCTAAATAGCTGGGATTATAGGACCCGCCACCACGCCAGGCTAATTTTTTTGTATTTTTAGTAGAAACAGGGTTTCACCATCTTGGCCAGGTTGGTCTTGAACTCCTGACCTCATGATCCACCCGCCTTGGCCTCCCAAAGATCTGGGACTGCAGAGCCACCATGCCTGGCTACAAAAAATTTTAAAAATTACCTGGGTATGAGCACGCAACTGCAGTCCCAGCTACTCAGGAGGCTGAAGCTATAGGATTGCTTGAGCCCAAGAATTCAAGGCAGTGAGCTATAATAACACCACTGCATTCCACCAGCCTGGGCAACAAAGTGAGAGCCCTGTCTTTTTTTAAAAAATAAAAAGAAGAAGAAGAAGAAGAAGAAGAAGGATAAGCCAGGCATGATAGCTCACGCCTGTAATTCTAGCACTTTGGGATGGATCCCAAGGTGAGCGGATCATCTGAGGTCAGGAGTTCAACACCAGCCTGACCAACTTGGAGAAACCCCATCTTTACTAAAAATATGAAATTAGCCAGGCATGGTGGTATATGCATGTAATCCCAGCTACTTGGGAGGCTAAGGCAGGAGCAGCACTCGAACCCGGGAGGCGGAGGTTGTGGTGAGCTGAGATCATGCCATTGCACTCCAGCCTGGGCAACAAGAGCAAAACTCTGTCTCAAAAAGAAAAAAAGTGAGCATAGAAATACTACTGTAGCAGAGCATGGTGGCTCACACCTGTAATCCCAGCACTTTGGGAGGCTGAGGCGGGCAGATCACTTGAGGTCAGGAGTTTGAGACCAGCCTGGCCAACATCGTGAAATCCTGTCTCTACTCAAAATACAAAAATTAGCCATGTGTGGTGCTGCACACCTGTAATTCTAGCTGCTTGGGAGGCTGAGGCAGGAGAATCACTTGAACCCAAGACAGAGGTTGCAGTGAGCCAAGATTGTGCCACTGCACTACAGCCTGGGCAATAAAGAGAGACTCTCGTCTCAAAAAAAAAAGAAAAAAAAAATACTATGGCATTTTAGCATTCAAACTTGCAAGCTTCAAATGATGTGGAAATGATTTTCATTTCTTTTTCTCTTTCTTTCTTTTTTACTTTCTTTTTAGTGAGCATGTTTTTCTGTCACCCAGGCTGGAGTGTTGTGGCATGATCACAGGTCACTGTAGTCTTGACCTGACCTCAAGCAATCCTCCCACCTTAGTGGCAAGTAGTTGGGACTATCAGCCTACCGGCCAGGGCCCTACACTCAACTAATTTTTTTACTCTAAATGTAGAGACTGAGTCTTGCTATGTTGCCCAGACCGATTTTCATTTCTGTTAGACTCATCTTTTGTCTTAATTATTGTTTGAATTTCTATTCCAGCACAATAATGTAAGGCAAAGGAAGGTTAAAATGTACCTCATTTAAACTGCTAATCTTTATACTTACTGACAATGCATCTCTGACATTTCTAAAATGAAGACACCTTCCTTATCTACAAACTCAGAAAATGCCAATGAACAATCTTAAAATTTTTTAGGTTTAAAACATTTTGGTGACAGTCACAAGTCTACTGAAAGGTACAATAGTAGATATTCATGTTGCTTTGCTATACTGGCATCACTAATTATTTGTCATCTGTAAAATGACAGCTAGTGCCTTACACATAGTAGATAATCAATAAATGTTCCTTTTCTTTCCTTTTTTCATTGTTTCAATGCAACTTACTACTCACTGATATTTTACTGACTTCATCAAAGATACTTGGTAATATAGAGGCTCATATAAGAACAAATACTAAACCTAAACAATACTAGGTTTAATTTTTCAAGTTAAAAGGACTTCCTCACTTCATTTGTCCAATGTATCAAACACCTTAAATTCCTGATGAATCTGGTTCTTTCAGCTAACAAGTTTTAGCTGTTTTAAAACAAATTTTTATCTTCTTGGAAAAGCTTCGACACCTTAAAAATCAGTACAGTGGCTGGACGAGGTGGCTCACGCCTTTAATCCCAACCCCTTTGGGAGGCTGATGCAGGGAAGATCACCTGGGGTCAGGAGTTTGAGACCAAACTGGCCAACATGCCGAAATCCCACCTCTACTAAAAATATAAAAATTAGACAGGCGTAGTGGCACGCGCCTGTAATCCCTCAGGAAGCTGAGACAGGAGAATCTCTTAAATCCAGGAGGCAGAGACTGCAGTGAGCCGAGATCGCACCACTACACACCAGCCTGGGCTACAAGAGCGAAACTCCGTTTCAAAACAATAACAACAAAAATATAAAAAATAAAAATCAGTACAGTTTTCTCAACAGTGTATCGTTTTTCCCACTTAAATGGGACTTTGGGCTACAAAAAACGTTAACCAGCACTAGCAAGGAAGCTCAGTTTGCCTCTACATTAACTGGGAGGGTTGAAAACACCAGGCCGCGTCATAGCGTCTTTGGTTGTCAATGAGACCCGCCACCTTCACCTTACCAGGTAAGAAAACTGAGGCCCAGGGGAAGGAAGGGGCTTGCCTGCGGCCATCTCGTTCTTTCCTGAAATGACCAAGCGTCTGACAGCAGCAGTGTTCTACCCCGAGGGCTATCAGACTGCCCCGCGGAGCATGGATGAGACCTGTCCTCCCTCGCGCTGCCTAATCCCGGGGTGAAAAACAAGGTGCCCCTTCACGCAATGCTACAGGCAGGGGCCCTGAGCAGGTCTTTGCCCTAAAAGTGCGCCTTCTAGGGTATCCACAACTGCTGCCCGCCGGTCCTCCCAGAAGGAGGGGCTGTCACTTACCTGCAACCGGAGAGAACGCAATCCCCTGCTTGGCGGTGGCCGTACACCCGGAGAGAACTGCAAAGCGCGATGGCTGCCGTGGCCCTAGTTCTCATCAGCCCCTTCCGGGCCGGCGGGTGCCTCACTAGCTACAGTCCGCAGGTCCGCTTCGCAGCGCGCTCTCAGTTCCGCCTCTCTGCGGTCCCACGGCCAATTCCTCAGCTGAGCCAGCTTGCTCTCAACCACCGCCCCGCCCCGCGACACCGCCTGTGTCTCGGAGCCTCCTAGTTTCCCCACGCCCGCCCGCCCGAAGGGATTTTAGGGCCCTGCGTCCCTAGAAAGGAACACACGGCCCCTACTTAGGGAAAATTACTTTTGGCATTTTTGGGGGGGGTGGGGGAAGGAGTCTTACTCTGTCGCCCAGACTGGAGTGCAGTGGCGCGATCTCGGCTCACTGCAACCTCTGCCTCCTGGGTTCAAGTTATTCTCCTGCCTCAGCATCCTGAGTAGCTGGTATTACAGGCACTGAGGCTGTCTGGAGCAAGGTGACAGGGTCCCCAGGCCACGCCGATCAATTTCCATACATTGATCAATGGCTGAAATTGATCCAGCACCCTCCTCCTTGGCTGGAAAAATGCATAAAGCAGGCTGGACTTCAGGTTATGCTGGCAGGCTTAAAGAAAAGCCCCTCGGTACCGGCTGTTCTTCCAGCCCCTGCCAAGGACCAAGAGTATCCCCCACCGTATTCTCGGCCCTTGGGAACGGGGTCCCGACACCCCTCTCCCGACAATAGTAATAATCAGCCCTTGTTCCCCTCCACACTCGAAGTGGGGCCCCACACCTGCCAAAGCTACTGCCCCTCCGGGAGGCACCTTCCGCAGATGGCGGCAGCCGGGGCGCCCTTTTTTTTGTTCATATCCCTTTTTCCTCTAGTGATTTGTATAACGGGAAGGCTCAACATCCTCCGTTTTCCCAAAAGCCCCAGGCACTCACAGGGCTCCTGGAGTCGGTTTTACAAACCCACTGTCCAAACTGGGACGATTGCCAGCAGCTACTCCTGGTGTTGTTCACCACAGAGGAGAAAAGTAAAATTAGACAAGAAGCCCATAAAGCAATACTTGGGACAGGGGGAGGATCAGTAGAAGATCGCCAGGAACAAATTAATGCAATTTTCCCTTCCACCAGGCCCCAATGGGACCCAAACACCCCAGGGGGCATGCAGGCTTTGAACAATTTTCACCAGTACTTGTTAGAGGGGGTTGGGGGGCAGCCCGAAAATCCACCAACCTCTCCAAGGTAGGGACCGTGACCCAGGGTCCACAGTCGCTTTCCTTGAGCTCCTACAGGAGGCCGACCGCACCTACATCCCTATTGACCCTGAGGCCCCGCAGAATCAGCAGGCCATAAATCTGGCTTTTGTTTCCCAGTCTGCTCCAGACATAAAAAGAAAATTGCAAGAATTAGAGGGGTTCCAGGAAATGAATTTAACTCAGTTGTTGGAGATTGCCCAAAAAGTCTTTAACAATAGAGACACCTTAGAGGCCAAGCAAGGTAAGAGAATTACTAAGGCAGTGATAACAACACTCCAGGAAACCCCGAGTTAACTCACCGGGACCAGCCGTTGACTTGGACAGTAACGGAACAGCAGGCTTTTGACAGGCTAAAAGAAGCCTTGACCACGGCCCTGGCCTTGGCCTTGCCCGACATCTCTAAGCCCGACATCTCTAAGCCCTTCAATCGTACATGAAAAACAGGGAGTCGCTAAGGGGGTGCTCACCCAGACATTGGGACCATGGTCCCGGCCAGTTGCCTACCTTTCAAAAAGACTTGATCCCGTAGCCTCTGGGCGGCCGGCTTGTTTGAGGTCAGTGGCAGCTACAGCCCTGTTAGTCAAGGAGGCGGACAAACTAACCTTGGCGCAAGAGTTAAACTTTTTTTTTTTTTTTTTAAGGAAGGGATGAAGGAAGGAAGGAAGGGAGGAAGCGGGGAGGGAGGGAAGGGAAGAAAGAAAATCAAGCAATGAAAGAGACATTGCCGACCTGGATCTAGAGGTTTACAAGTTGATTTCTTTTTTTTTGAGAGAAGGAAAGAAAAAAAAAAATAAGTAAAGGAGAGGAAGAAAGAGGAAGAGAAAGAGGGAGAGTAAATGGAAATATTGCTTTATTTTGAAAAAAATTGGGTATTAATAATGGCCAATCAATGTTTCATTTAAACTAATGGGTAGGTGTGATGTGGTATTGACAAGAATGTATATTTTGTGTATTTGAAGTGGAGAGCTCTATAAATATTTATTAAGTTTACTTGTTCCGGATCTTAGTTCAAGTCCTTGATATCCTTATTAATTTTCTGTCTCATTGAATCTATGTCTCCTATCTGGGTGTTAGGATCGTTAGCTCTTGTTGCATTGATCCTTTTACCACTATATCTTTGTTGCTTTAAAATCTATTTTATCCAATACAAGAATTGCAACTCCTGCTTTTTATTTATTTATTATTTATTTTTGCTCTCCATTTGGTTGGTAAATCTTTCTCCATCCCTTTGTTTTGAGTCTTTGTGTATCCTTGCATGTGAAACAGGTCTGGATGTAACATGCCGTTGGGTTTTGGCTGTGTCTTTTGATTGGGAATTCAGTCAATTTAAATTTAGGGTTACTGCCATTTGATGTTGACTGGCTGTTTTATCCATTTGTTGGTGTAAATTCTTCTTTATGTTGGTGCTCTTTACTTTTTGGTGTATTTTTAGAAAGGCTAATACCGGTTGTTTCTTTCTGTGTGTAATGCTTCTTTCAGAAACTCTTGTAAAGCAGGCCTGGTGGTAATAAAATCTCTGAGTTCTTGCTTGTTCATAAAAGATTTTATTTTTCCTTCAGTTGTGAAGCTTAGTTTGGCTGGATAAGAGTTAAACTTAATGGCACCCCACTCAGTGGAGTCGATACTCCATGGAGCACTGGGAAAATGGATGTCTAATGCCCGCATAGTCCAATACAAGGCCTTACTTTTGGACCAGCCCCGCATAAAATTTTCAAAAACCACAGTTTTAAACCCAGCCACATTGCTGCCTGACAGTGAGCCAGAAGAGCCCGTACATGACTGCCAACAGACAATAGATGTCCTCCATGCTGCACAACTGGATCTCACCGACGTCCCCCTGCAGAACCCAGAAGAGGTACTGTATTCAGATGGCAGCAGTTTCATGGTCGACAGAGTCAGGTATGCTGGGGCAGCTGTGGTCATCCTAGAGCGGGTTATCTGGGCCCAGGCTCTTCCACACGGAACCTCAGCCCAAAAGGCAGAACTCATCACTCTAATAAAGGCCTTGGACTGGGTGGAGGGAAAAACTGTCAACATCTACACTGATAGCCGATATGCCTTTGCTACAGCTCGTGTACATGGAGCCATTTATTTAAAAAGAGGGTTGCTTACCTCAGAGGGAAAAATCATCAAAAACAAAGAAGAAATTCTAGCTCTACTAAAAGCTATATGGAAACCCAAGGCAGTGGCATTGATACACTGCAAAGGACACCAGAAGGGAAATTCACCAGAGGCAAGGGGAAATAGGGCAGCTGATCTGCAAGCCAGACAGGCAGCCTTGGGGCCAGTAAAACCTCTGACTCTTCTTGTAACTCTGCCGGCCCCAACCCTGCCCCCTACCCCTATGTACTCACCTGATGAAGAAAACTTTGCTAAACAACAGGGGGGACGACAAGATTCCACAGGGTGGTGGACCCTACCGGACACGAGGATTGTGCTCCCCGAGGCTCTAGAGCAGACTCTAGTTAAGGACACACACCAGGCCACGCACTTAGGACAAACGAAACTCACTGAGCTACTGAGGGCCAGATACTACATTCCACATTTACATGAAATTGTTAGGGAAACTACTACTCGATGTGATGTAGTGCCAGGGTAAATCCAGGAGGCAGCAGGTCTAGTCAGGCAGGGATAAGACTCAGGGGTACTAGCCCAGTGGAACACTGGGAGGTAGATTTTACTGAAATAAAGCCCCCAGCATGCAGCTATAAATACCTCCTTGTGTTTGTAGACACTTTCTCTGGATGGGTCGAGGCTTTTCCTGCTAGGTCAGAAACTGCACTGGCAGTAACAAAAAGACTGTTACAGGACCTGGTTCCTCGGTTCGGCTTGCCCCTGACACTGGGATCAGATAATGGCCTTGCACAGGTTTCTCAGGGCCTGGCCAAGGCCCTGGGCATATCCTGGAAACTACATTGTGCCTATCGCCCCCAGAGTTCAGGACAGGTTGAAAGGATGAACTGGACCATAAAGGAAACGTTGACAGAATTCATTCTAGAGACCAGTGAAAACTGGGTCAACCTGCTTCCCTTTGCTCTCCTCTGTACCCAGTGTACTCCCTATAAGAAAGGCTTCACTCCTTTTGAAATTATGTTTGGAAGGCCCCCTCCCTTACTCCCCAAACTTGCAGACACCATACATGCTGAAGTCCATAACCATACACTCCTTAAGTCCTTGCAGACGCTCCAGTCTGTTCAGTCCCAGGTGCACCGGCTCATCAGCAGAATTCGACCTACCCCAGTGGACCTCACTGACCAGCCGGTACACCCCTTCCAGCCCGGGGACAAAGTCCTGGTAAAGAGATTCACCGCCTCTAGCCTAACTCCTCGCTAGAAAGGACCCTACACCATGATCCTGGTCACCCCCATGGCAATCAAGGTGGATGGACTGACTGCCTGAATCCACCACTCACATGTTAAGACTGCCCCCCACCCCCACGCACAATGGAGAGTGACCTCAGCTTCAGCAGACCACCTAAAGCTGAGACTTTCGCGCTCCTCTCAGTAATCTTCCTTGCCCCCCTGTTTCCTAGTGTAGACCCTCAGAGAGGACCCCCTCTTGACTCCCACCTATTACCAGTGGGTCCTTACTAAAAGATCCACTGGAGGGTATGTTAATTCCTTAATTGAAAAGGGATCCAAAAAGAGGAAAACTATTAAAGATTTAATACATGTTAAAAAAACGGGGGAATGTGCTATAGCAGGCCTAGAGTTAAAACCAGAGCAATGCCATTTTGTAAGACAAAGCTGTTTTTTCCAAAAATAAGTTGTACTGTCCCATTCTCCTTGCAATAACTGCTGACCTTGGCTTCTGTAAACAAAACTGCTAGCTTGCTCTAAAGAATGAACTGTCTGGCCTTTGCTTATCAGTAGTTACCAAAATAAGCATCTGTAAAGTTGTTTGCCCTGCGTCCACTCAATATGTGGTTTTTCAGCTTAAATACCCTGCTCCCCCTGAGTTCGGGGCCATGGGTTGGAGAGACGTGCGTCCTCCGTGGTTGCCAGCAATAAAGACCCTGCAATTTGGCATACTTTTGTCTTGGTTGATTATTTCAATCTCGCATCCAATACTTCAGTCCAGGCTGGAATTTATTTATTTATTTATTTTATGGAGATGGAGTCTCCCTCTGTGGCCCAGACTGGAGTGCAGTGACGTGAGCTTGGCTCACTGCAACCTCCACTTCCCGGGTTCAAGCAATTCTCGTGCCTCAGCCTTTGGAATAGCTGGGACTACAGACACACGCTGCCACGCCCGGCTAATTTGTTTGTATTTTAGTAGAGACGGAGTTTCACTGTGTTGCCCAGGCTGGTCTCGAACTCCAGAGCTCAGGCAATCCGCCCTCCTCGGCTTCTCAAGTGCTAAGATTGCGGTGTGAGCCACCGCGCTCAGCCGAAGTAACCTTTTCTGCATGTTCGTTTTACTATGGAATCGTTCACGAATTTGTATGTCATCCTTGTGCAGGAGCCTGGCTAATCTCTGTATCGTTCCAATTTTAGTGTATGTGCTGTCCAAGTGAGCACACAGGTATTCAGCTTTAAACAAGACTGTTTTGACAACAATGTTCTTTTCTTTCCTTTTTCTTTCATTTTTTTTTTTTTTCTTTTGAGACAGAGTCTCCCTCTGTCACCCAGGCTTGAGTGCAGTGGTGCTATCTCGGCTCACTGCAACCTCCGCCTCCTGGGTTCAAGCGATTCTCCTGCCTCAGCCTCCCGCGTAGCTGGGATTACAGGTGCCCGCCACCACGTCTGGCTAATTTTGTTGTTTTGTTTTGTTTTTTGAGTAGAGACAGGGTTTTACCATGTTGGTTAGCCTAGTCTCGCACTCCTGACCTCACATAATCCGCCCACCTCGGCCTCCCAAAGTGCTGGGATTGTAGGGGTGAGCCACTGTGTCCAGCATCAATGTTCTTTTCTTTTTTTTTTTTTTTTTTTTTTGAGACGGAGTTTCGCTCTTGTTACCCAGGCTGGAGTGCAATGGCGCGATCTCGGCTCACCGCAACCTCCGCCTCCTGGGTTCAGGCAATTCTCCTGCCTCAGCCTCCCGAGTAGCTGGGATTACAGGCACGCACCACCGTGCCCAGCTAATTTTTTGTATTTTTAGTAGAGACGGGGTTTCACCATGTTGACCAGGATGGTCCCGATATGCTGACCTCGTGATCCACCCGCCTCGGCCTCCCAAAGTGCTGGGATTACAGGCTTGAGCCACCGCGCCCGGCCATCAATGTTCTTTTCTAATGGATTAGTGTTGCCTTCTTTAAATGCTTCAAGAGCTGTTTGGGGACTCTCAGCAAAGCCTATCATTTGCTCTGCTGGATTTCCTCTTCTTTCTGCTCCCACCTCATTCACCCCATGCACTTTCCCTTGACGAAACCCCCGCCAGAAAAGCTTCTACCCACCTCTCAATTTCACCCAGCTAACTCCTACACGCTCTTCAGGTCTCAACTCTTCAGGTCTTCCACTCATCAAGGCCTTCCTCCCAGATTTGGTTAAGTCCTCTGTTACAGACTTTGAGATGGATCTGGGTGTGGTAGCTCATGTCTACACTCAGGGGCCTGCCTGGCCCTCCCCACCAAGAATGGAAATAAAGGAAAATTTCGAGTTCCTTCAGGGGAAATTCTCCACACCTAGCTAGCTTTGAGGAACTTGATAAGCAAGAAGGTAATAGTAGCTCAAAACAATAGCCTAAGAAGTTTGAGTCCTTAGATGTTTGGTTGTTTATAAAAACTACCGATGCCAGCTGCTGTGACTCACGGTTGTAATCCCAACACTTTGGAAGGCCCAGGTGGTTGGATCTCGAGGTCAAGAGATGAACATCCTGGGCAACATGGTGAAGTCCTGTCTCTTCCAAAAATACAAAAATTAGTTGGACATGGTGGCGCACGCCTCTAGTCCCAGCTACTCCCGGAGGCTGAGGCAGGAGAGTCGCTTGAACCCGAGAGGGGGAGGTTTCGGTGAGCCAAGATCCCGCCATTGCACTCCAGACTGGGCAACAAGAGCAAAACTCCATCTCAAAAAAAATAATAAAATAAATAAGAGAAAAATAAAAATTAAAGATAACATCTTCCCCCCCCCCAAAACCTCCTAAAAATAACATCTTAACATGTGTCCCTGAGTTTTTCAGAAACCCAGACCAGTATCAAATGAATACACTGGATCTTGGTGTGGTGACTCATGCCTTTACACTTTGGGAGACTGAGGCAGGAGGATCCATTGAGCCCAGGAGTTCAAACCAGCCTAGGCGATATAGTGAGAGCTCATCTCCATTAAAAAATTTAAAAATCTGGGCCGGGTGCAGTGGCTCATGCCTGTAATCCTAGCACTTTGGGAGGCTGAGGTGGGTGGATCACCTGAGGTCAGGAGTTCAAGACCAGCCTGGCCATCATGGTGAAACCCCATCTTAAAAAAAAAAATTTTTTTTTAATTTAGCTGGGCATGGTGGTGTGCCTGTAGTCCCAGCTACTTGTGAGGCTGAAGTGGCAGGATCGCTTACGTCTGGGAGATCCAGGCTGCAGTGAGCTATGATCCTACCACTGCAAAAGTGAAACCTTGTCTTCCCAACCCCCCAAAAAAAGATATTCCATATTTTTAGGCCAAACCAATGTATAACCTCATGTACTGATACACAATTTTTCCTGTAACTTCCACTTTTCTAAAATTTACCCCTGCCTTTAAAAATTGCCTGCGCTGGGCACAGTGGCTCACATCCGTAATTCCAGTACTTTGGGAAGCCCAGGTGGGTGGATCACCTTCGGTCCAGAGTTCAAGATCAGCCTGGCCAACATGGTAAAACTCCATCTCCTTTAAAATAAAAAAATTAGCCCGGTATGGTGGTGTACGCCTGTAATCCTAGCAACTTGGGAGGTTGAGGCGGAGAAATGCTTGATCCTGGGAGGCAGAGATTGCAGTGAGCCAAGATAGCACCACCGCTCTCCAGTCTGGGTAAAAGAATAAGACTAAATAAAAATTTTTAAAAATCCTGGCAAACATGGTGAAACCCTGTCTCTACTAAATACAAAAAATTAGCCAGGCATGGTGGCACATGCCTGTAATCCCAGCTACTTGGGAGGCTGAGACAGGAGAATCGTTTGAACCCAGAAGGCGGAGGTTGTGGTGAGCCGAGAATGCGCCATTGCACTCCAGCCTGGGCAACAAGGGCAAAACTCCGTCTCAAAAAAAAAAAAAAATTAAAAAAAATTAAAAACAGCCAGGCATGGTGGCTCACACCTGTAATCCCAGCACTTTGGGAGGCTGAGGTGGGTGGATCACGAGGTCAGGAGTTTGAGACCAGCCTGGCCAACATAGTGAAACCCCATCTCTACTAAAGATGCAAAAAATCAGCTGGATGTGGTGGTGTGTGTCTGTAATCCCAGCTACTCAGGAGGCTGAAGCAGGAGAATCACTTAAACCCAAGAGGCGGAGGTTGCAGTGAGCCCAGATCATGCCGTTGCACTCCAGGCTGGGCAACAGGGCAAGACTCTGTGTCAAAACAAACAAACAAAAAACTCTTGCTTGTAAGCCATTGGGGAGGTCAGGTCTTAAGTGTGAGCTACCAGATTCTTTTTGTTTGGTGCCCTGTAAGTAAATACCCTCATGTAAAGCCTGGATATGGATGTCAGGCCTTACTGCATTGGGAAGCAGACTTCAGTTTGGTTGGGTAACAAGCTTCCTCAGCAACTTTACAACTTACTTTTTTATTTTTTTAGACAGAGTTTTCTCTTGTTGCCCAGGCTGGAGTACAATGGCAAGATTTTGGCTCCTGCAATCCCTGCCTCCCGGGTTCAAGCGATTCTCCTTCCTCAGCCTCCCAAGTAGCTGAGATTACAGGCGTGCCCCACCAGTCCTTGCTAATTTTGTGGTTTTAGTAGAGACTAGGTTGATTTCATAATGTTGGCCAGACTGGTCTCAAATTCCTGACCTCAGGTGATCCGTCCACCTTGGCCTCCCAGAGTGCTGGGATTATAGGCATGAGCCACAGTGCCTGGCCTACAATTTAATCACTGAAGTTATACAACTGTATATATAAAATTATTTGTTTAAATAATCACACCACCAACAGACATTATATAAGCTTCTTCAGATTATGCCCCTATATACTTTTTTCCCTCCTGAACCTATTTTCAGGGCCTGGCACAAAATAGGTACTTAATAAATATGTACTAAATATCTAATAAATAAATACTTAAAATTATTTTTGCTCTGTTGCCAGGCTGGAGTGCAGAGGCATGATCTCTGCTCACTGCAACCTCTACCACCTGGGTTCAAGCGATTCTCCTGCCTCAGCCTTCCGAATAGCTGGGATTACAGATGCACACCACCACACCTGGCTAATTTTTGTATTTTTAGTAGAGACAGGGTTTCACCATGTTGGCCAGGATGGTTTCAATCTCTTGACCTTGCGATCTGTCCATCTCAGCCTCCCAAAGTGCTGGGATTACAGGCGTGAGCCATTGCACCTGGCCTGTTGTTTTTTGAGTTGGCATCCCTGTTTCCCAGGCTGGAGTGCAGTGGTTCGATCTCCACTCACTGCAACCTCTGCCGCTCAGGTTCAAGCGATTCTCCTGCCTCAGCCTCCTGAGTAGCTGAGATTACAGGCAACAGCCACCATGCCCAGCTAATTTTTGTATTTTAAGTAGAGACAGGATTTCATTATCTTGGCCAGGCTGGTCTTGAGCTCCTAACCTCATGATCCACCCGCCTTGGCCTCCCAAAGTGCTGGGATTACAGGTGTGAGCCACCGAGCCTGGCTTTTTTTTTTTTGAGAGACAATCTCATTCTGTCACCCAGGCTAGAGTGCAGTGGTGGATCCTGCCTCACTGGATCTTGCCTCACTGTAACCTCTGCTCGCCCAATTCAAGCGATGCTCATGCCTCAGCTTCCCAAGTAGCTAGGACTACAGGCATGTACCACCACGCCTGGCTAATTTTTTTTGGTATTTTTAGTAGAGAAGGGGTTTCACTATGTTGGCCAGGCTGGTCTCAAATGCCTGACCTCAAGTGATCCACCTGTCTTGGCCTCCCAAAGTGCTGAGATAAGAGGAGTAAGCCAATGTACCCGGCCAAAGGGTTTCTTTGAAGTTCATTAATCTGAGGTGGAAGAGCCTGTTGTTGTTCCAGTCCGGGTTCCCCTCTACCCTCTCTGTACTCATCTAATCTTGAATTCAGTTTGGTTTAATAAACACTAAAGTGGCCTGAGGCAATTCACAAGGCTCCTCAAGGTTATAGCTATTATCCCAGATAGGTTTTCTTTCCTGATATCCCTGGCATTTTGGTCAGCCTTTTAAAAATCTGAGGTAGAGCTAGCTCCCTGACTCACACCTATAATCCCAGCACTTTGGAAAGCTGATGTGCGAGGACTGCTTGAGGCTAGGAGTTGGAGACCAGCCTGGACAACAAAATGAGACCCTATCTCTGAAAAAAAAAAATTGTTTTTATTAGCTGGGTGTGGTGGTATGCCTGTGAAGTCCCAGCTACTTGGGAAGCTGAGACAGGAGGGTTGCATGAGCCCAGGAGTTCAAAGATGAA